ATCCCTTGGAAATAAGTGCACTCTGTAATTCAGAACTGTTAGGATGAGCTGATGTGGGGATGGCCAACACTGGTCTGTCTGTTGAGGACTGAGTTAGGCTGGTCCACGTAGGTCTGGCAAAGATGTGACTGTGGGCATTGAGAGTGGCAGTGAGGGATGTGGGGAGGGGGTGGTGTCACTATTGGCCATTATCATTTTTGCTGATGGAACTGAAGTTCTCCTGCCATGCACAGAATATTTACATCTCTGGATGTTTCCTGGCCCAGGGTATCAGATTTACTCTTAAGTAATACACATCCTAGGTCACTAAGCTAATGCTCTAAAGTGTTTTTATAAATACAAATAGTAATACATGCTCTTTGGCCACATGTTTAGCACATTATGCACGTAATATAAAGCCTCTGGGATGGCTCTGTCCTGTGTGTATGTCCACGTATGCACATGGACACCTCCATGCATCTGGAAATGCACAGTGTTGTATTCGTGTCCATTTTCAGCCTGAGGTTCATAACACTATGCAAGTGCACATTCTCTCCAGGGGCCTTTCTGCCAGGATACACAACTGTCTCATTCTTTTCCGTGGCAGGCATTGTCTCCCATAGCACGGTGATTTCTAGTCCTTTCCTTGTTGACAGACATCTGGAATGTCCTCCCATGTTTTACCCTTAGACGTGGTAGGCAAAGGGCATGCAGAGGTGTGGTTTCTATGCTAACAGCCATATGCATCTCACTCTGGCGTGGATGGGGAGGGTCACTTCTAGGCCTTTTGACCTTTGACAGATCAAGTGTAGTCAATCATCAGGGACTGCGTTGGAGCACAGTCGTGTCTGGGGTCATTTTAAAATAAACCGCATTATGAAAAGCTTGCAATGAAAATCACCAGGCCCAAAGGCTGTACATCTCTATGAACCTCTGTACAGTTGGAATAGCCAGGGTTTTAAATATATATAATTTTCTTGCCTTCTAATGAAAGTGCCCTATTATATTTTTGGTTATGAACCTAACCTTTAATGGCCAAGCCATCTCTCCAGCTCAAAAGTGGCCTTTTAAAAACAGGGCTTGGGGATTTTTTTGTAGAGGCTTGGGTGCTGGCAAGCCTGGTCTCTTAACTAGATTCCACTAGATTGCTTTCTTGCAGCCTATCAGCCCAACATATGCCTTCCTTTCCCACCCCCTTCTCCTCCTTCCCCCCTCTCTCCTTTTCCTCACTCCATCCCTGCTCTCCCAACCTGGTGGCTGAAGGTCGTCTCTTACTTAGAGTTACTGCAAGCAGGGCAGTAACTCCCAGACCTCTCTTCCAAAGTAGCTTCAGCCTCCCAGTCTGCCGGGGGCATGATGGTTGAGAGTGGGTTAGCCCTGATAGCATCAGCCTTGGCACCATTAGCAAGCGACTTGTTCCCAGGCTTAGGGTCAGGGTTAAATAAATGGCCTGTGGAGCACACAGCAAGAATATATCAATAGTGTCGGTACCTGCTGGCCGTTCTCATGTTCTTAGCCCCCGCCCTTCTGTCAGCAGACATTTTTATACGGTGAGAGGAACCCACGTTCTGACGTGCGTGTGCTCGCCCGCGATGACAGTCACTGTTGCTGTGTTTTCCCGGGTATGTCCACTTCAGCTCAGGCCAGCTTTTATCCCCTCCCACTTGATGAGGGATGGCTTTTCTTTCTTGGCTCTTTCTGTGATTCGGCACTCAGAGTGCCCAGGGCTTAGAGCTGGATCATAAGCATGGCGTGTAAGGTAGCATGTCCATGGGAAGCCATGGGCCCTGGGGAGATGGACACACCACTGAGGCTGGACGCCACCTTATCTGGACAGCAGCTCAGGGAGAGTTGTTGGCCTCTGTATCGCTTTGTGGATCACTTTTTTACCGTCTCTAATCTCGCTTTGTGTTGATGACGGCAAACTCCTTGCTGAGTCCCAGTTGTGGCTTTTGCTTTTCCCCTCTTTGAAGGAATCTTAAGCCTCGTTCAGTTGGAACCGTTTTTCTTTCCCAAGATTACAGAAAACGTATGAGAGCTTAGAAAGCCCAGCCTGCCCTAGTCAGAGAGAGCCACTTGGTAAAATTTACTATCTCACTGTCACTTATGTAGAGAACACGGACGAGTGGCCTGGACCTGCCCCTAGGGTGCCCTCCATTCACCCCTCACTCCGGAGAAGCTCAGAGAAGAGGGGAGGTGGCCAGCCTTCCTTCCCTACTCACACATGCAGTTTCTCCACTCTCTATGAGGACTTGGGTGTACTGACTTGCTTTTATTGCAGTTACAGGCTTCTATTTGTTTCGTGTCTTTGTTTTGTAATAGACATTTTAAGTTTGATCTTGTTTTAGAACATTGTCCTGGTTCAGAATTTAAATGGACGCCTTGCTGACTTGTGAATGGTCATAAAGGCTCCCTCCTTTTGAGGGGCTCCAAGTATTTGCTGCCACAAACAGGATCTGAGCATAGTACTGGGCTTGGGAAAGACAGCTTTCTCGGTGGAATAATTTATCATTGCCAGAGGTAACATGAAATTATTAATTTTTTCCTTAAAGCATGTTCTTTGTAAATGTTTTCTGGAGAGACAGGAATTGAAATTAATGATGTTCTCTCTTGTTAAGACTTCATTTTATTTCATGTATTCTGTTGACCCCTGAGAAGATATCTAATCTAGAGGGAAGGAGGGTAAAACACCACTAAAAACCCTGCCGGCGATCCGCGTGACCACAGTTAACTTCCTGTCACCATCTGTGCTCCTTCAAGCTTCAAGAGAACTTTGTTGAGGGATCTGACGAGGGTGTTTGTGGTCCTGGGGATTAAACTCAGGGTCACACTTATGCTAAGCTCATGTGTGCTCCACCACTGGGCTACGCCCCAAGCTCCATGCTCTGTATTTGGATGTCTTAGGTTTATTAGAATTCCACATGCCTTTCATTTTACTTTAAAAACGCCCTGGTTTCTGTAAACATAAGAAAGGTAATGTTTGCACCTGGAGTGATATATATCCTAGCTCAGAGAAGAGTCTATTGCACTGTGTAATACACACATGCATGCACACTGGTGCACACAGACACACAAGTGCACACCTACACACGCCCGCACACACTCACAGATAGACACACACCAGTTTAACCTGTGAGTAGTGGTGGAGGCGTTCTTTCTTAGGCTGGCTGGTCCATAGTTCTGACTGTGGCCATTAGAAAAGGTGCGCCCACGCCCCCCCCCCTCCTGACATTTGTATTCTGAGAGTTGGCACCGGGAGCGGTGCTTGAGTTGAAGAACAGCCCGTGTCAGAAAGCAGCTCCGTGAGCTTGTGCAGAGTGTCGGTGCACACGGCAGCGTGTCTTCTGTCCTCAGTGCCGGACGCTCTTTACAGTCTGTGCTGGCTGGTTTCATGTCACACAAGCTTGGGCAGAGGGAGCCTCAACTGAGAAAGTGCGCCCGCAGATTGGCCTGTGAGCTAGCCTGTGCTACATACTCTTGCTTGATGATTGACGCAGGAGGACCCAGATCCCTGGGCACTGCTCCCCTCCGCTGTGGCTGGGTTCTATAAGAAAGCAGGCTGAGCAAGCCGCGAGGAGCGAGGCAGGAAGCAGCTCCCCTCCGTGGCTCCTGCCTCCAGATTCCTGCTTCAAATTCTTGTACTTGTGGTGATGACCTGTGATAGGCCCACGTAAGCCGACATAAACCCTGTCTTTCCCAACTTGCTTTTAATCGTGGTGCTTTATCATAGCAGTAGAAACTCCAACTAAAACATGGCTCGTACTTTCCAGTGTATTCACAGACACCTGCAGAGCCTGAGACTCCTTCCTGTACACAATGGGTTCTGTGTGGCTCCTGGGGTGGGGCTGGGGGTATTCTCAATTCCTCCTCATCCTCCTTTCTTTTCTTAGTGTACTTAGCTCACCTTGTTAAAAGAGTTTGCTAGTTGTCAGCACAGAGGGTGCACTATATATGTGTATGTGTGTGTGTGTGTGCATATGTGTATAGACGTGTGTCTGCGTGTGTGTATGTGTAGACATGTGTGTGCACGTGTGTCTATATGTGTATCTGTATGTGCGTGTGTATGTGTATAGATGCGTGTGCATATGTGTATCTGTATGTGTGTGTGAGTGTGTGCATGTGTGTGCGTGTGTCGGCTCTGGGAAGCGGCCAGGCCAGGGCTTCCCTGTCCTGCCGCCCTTGCTGTTCCTAGAGGACACCGCACTAGCTGTCCCCATATGTTCCATCTTTACTAAACGTGTTAAATCTCCTCTCTCAGCCCCTCTCTTCATCCATGAAATCGACCAAGGCTTTCCCAAGAACCTACCAATGCAGTTAGGGTAGAGTGATGACAGATGGTACTAATAAACACTTTAGGTTTCTCCAAAGGAATTAAAAGCCCATGTACAACACATTTCCTAGCTGCCATTTGCTTTATGTAGTAAAGGGCAGACTGGATCATGTCCTAACAGGGGACCATAAGGGACAAGGAAACTCAGCTAAGATTGGCTTATTTTCCAAGGCTCTCTCCAAATCATAATCCACAAATATCACTATGTTAATAGAGGCTCCAGCCATACATTATCTCATGGGATCTCCTGTGTCCTTATGAGACAACCACAGGGCAGTAATACACTGTGTTGATCCAGGGGTGCAAACTTGGTGGCTCCTCATCCTAGCGTCTGTAGGGAGGGTAAGGTCATGGTGTCCCTGTTGGGGACAGAGGGCTAGGCAGCAGGGGCCTAGTCTCTCTCACATCATGTCTTCTTCACCCTGGACCTCTTTGAGAAATATGTGGCTTGTTATATTCATAACTTATCTCATCCTGTTATGGAGTTGCTTCTACGCTTAAATACTGTTTACGGTCTGCTATCAAGGAAGGAAAAAATGTTAACTTTTTAACGCCATTTCATACATGAGGAATGGTTATGAATAAGAACACAGGGAAATACATGTAAGTCTGAGAAGAGCTCTCTACCCTATGTTTAGTAAGTGTGGAAACAATGATTGCTTTGTTGATGTGTATATCCTTGTATATTTAGGAATAGAAGGACAGTCAATGGAAGTTTCTAATATTGTGGACATTCGGAATGTGCATAACCGTGAGATTGCTATGAGAATTTCATCTAAAATAAACAGCCAAAATAGATTTTATACCGACCTAAATGGATACCAGGTAACTTTCTCTCAAATCATTATGATGGTTATATTTGTCTGTAATTTTTATGCATGTGTTTATTTGGTATATACAGGAGGTGTATATGGTCATGTGTGTAATTTTTATACAGGATAATTGTCCAATTAATTGTGAGTCACTTAAAAAATATCCCTAAAGTTGAAAACTATTTCTAAGATTAAAAAAAAAAACAAATTTTAAGGCATTTATAGGTTCTGCAGTCAGATTTCTAAAGTTATAACAAATCTTTGAGAGAGATTGTGTTTTTAGAGTATATATTTGTAAAAGTTTATTTATTTTTTTTTTTCTACTTGAAATCTAGGAGGCTAGAGAGGGTGCTTGCTTGAAGAAACGCTGGTTCAATTCTCAGCACCCATACTTAAAGCCATTAAAACCACCTGTAATTCCAGTCTCAGGGGGTGTGGCCTGTCTGGGTATTTACATGCACATGGTACATATGAACTCTCTCTCTCTCTCTCTCACACACACACACACACACACACACACACACACACACACACCTACACATACACCATCACACACAGTTTTAAAAAATTAAATCTTTAAAAATGAGAATTTGATGACTTTAAACACTTCATTAGAAAGGAAACATAATTACGAAGAAACATCCTTTTTCTTCATAAAGAATTTATATATACATGTGTCAATTATTCCATGATGTCTTTTAAGTTTTATGATAATTTTTGAATCTGTTAACTCAGAGTGGGAATGTGCATTGACACATGCCTGTACGTACATAGAGAAGTATATGCCACTATAGAAATGTGGGCTGCTATACATTCCATCAAAACCATCATGCAGCAACTATAAATGCAATAAGAAAATTAATTCTTGCATTTTATTTGCATATTGTTGATCTTTTAATAGTACTTAGGCACGCCCTTTGGATTGTCACCTTCATTTCTATTATTTTGAAAGTGTGACAATGTCTTTGAATAATACCACTAAAAACATGAGCATATTTTTTAAACATTAGCATTTCAAATATTCCTGGCTATGAATAGCAATAATTTCACAACATATGCTTTTTACTTGGTCTGATTTTCAACTGGCTATAAGTGGAAAGGGCTGGATAATTTCCTCTTCTGTGATTTCCTGCAAAAAAAATTAAATTTAAATCTTCTCCAGAGAACAGAAATTGCTTAGTACACTCTGATTAACATGCTAATTCTACTCCAGCCCTTAGGTTTTCAAATGAAACTCTGACTTCTGTGGTGATTCTTTTTTTATTTTAATGTACAAAAGAAAGTCTTTTCTTAAAATCTCACAGAAATAAGTATTTGTAAGCATTGGTGTAGACATGAATAAAAAAACTTAGTTAAAAGTGAATTGTGAAAAGTGTTCATCTTCTTTCCAATGATCAAAAGAGATGCTGGTGTCATTCACGTCGACAGGGTAAATATTTCTTTAAAAGAACCCCTATTGTAACCTGTGGAAATAGTAGTTCTTGGGCAGACTAAAGAGACTCCTGGGTAGGAGGTGAGGAAAGCAAGACCACAATTTCACATGTGTCTTCACATCTGTTTCTTAACTTTAAAAGATGCAGTCCAGCCAGGGTACAAAGAGAGGGATAATTAAGAGCAATACAGGGTTCTTTGACAGTAGCCCACCTGCTTTCCACCCCTGTCTCCCTCCCCTCCTTCCCCTCCTCCCCTCTGTCCCTCAGCCTCTCTCGTCTTCCTCCTCTTCTCCTCTCCCCTCCCCTCCATCTCTGTCCTGTCTTGACTACTGTATTCCTTTCCTAGGGTTGCCATGCACTTGTAGTATCACAAACTGGGCATCTTAGAAGAACAGAACTTTGTCCTTTCTCTCCCTTGGAAACGGAGTGTCTGAGGTCAGGCTGTGTGCAAGGCCACACCCTCCTCCCCTGCTGCTCCCTAGCTTCTAACCCCTGGCTGGTCCCTGGTGTGGCTGGGTGCTTGGCTGGGTGCGGAAATGCCTCCCCAGCCGCCCCTCTGTGGTCATGTGTTCTTCTAACAGCGCCATCCTCTGCGGCTCGGCTCTCTGTGTCCACGTTTCTTTCTTACAAGGATGCTAGGTTTTGGCCATGTTGATTTCTGAAAAGACACTTATCTCAAAGTAAGATCATTTCCCCAGATCGTAGTTAAATATGAATTTGAAGAGACTCGGGATAACCAGCAGGTGTGTGTGTGTGGGTGGGGTCTTGTTGGGGATGTCGAAGGTTAGGTCTGGGACATGCTGGCCAGGACCGCCCTCCATTGCTGGGTGCTGAGCTCATGTGACCCCATGTTAACTTTATGCCTTTACTATTTCTGGGGTTCGTTTTAAGCATTGACAAGTTTAAAGAAGGAAATGGCATTTTTAAGTGGTATGAGTATCAGGGTCCCGAGGATATAAAATGCTTCCGGGTATTGACAGCCACTCAAAATGTAAAATTCTAATTCACGCATTCAAACATGAGGCTGCAGAAGCCCAGAGTTTAGAACTATCTTGATTTAAAATAAACAAGAATAAACACTGAACTCTTTTAACTATAAGCATGCACTTTATTATAATGTAATATGTTAGAGGGTTTGGTGGCAAGCTCTGTGGTAGTTATTAAAACTGATTCAAGAATAATAGATAGTTCTTGAATGGAGATAGAGAGCTACTGTGCTTAGCATTCATTACAAAAGCAGCATGTTTGATCTAGATGAGAAATGAATACTTAATACCTTCATAATTTGTTTTATGCAAATGTGGGAAACTACACGACTTATGCTGGGCATTTTATTGTGATTTTAAATAATGCCTGTTTTAAAATCCCCACAAGTTCTATCTTTCACATTTAAAATTGTCTTCTAAGAGCCTTGTGGTTCCTCCACAAATGATTTTAAGGAGTATTTTAATTTTTTAAATATTTCTTTGCTTGAACAAGAACAGAAGGTATGCCTTTTTCTCTTTGGGAAAGAGATAACTAAATAATCTTAATTTATGAAAGTATATGTGTAAATAATACTTGCTTGGCTTTACAGATTCAACCTAGAAGGACAATGGCCAAATTGCCTCTTCAAGCCAATGTTTACCCGATGAGCACGATGGCATACATCCAGGATGCGGAGCTCCGGCTCACAATGCTAGCAGCGCAGTCGCTGGGCACGTCCAGCTTGGCTTCTGGTGTGTTCTTTCGTTTCCTGCTTTGAAAGTGCTTGGTTCTGAGTGTGCAGTATTTCTGTGGTCAGATATATTACCTATGCTCCCATTTGCTACTCTCCTCTGAGTCCCACAAGTGCTTAACTCGGGCTTTATGGGGACTACATGAGGTGACTGTCTTCACTCTTCAAATAAAGAGCAGGAGACTGAGATGCCACAGTTGATTTTAGACATAAGTGTATTCATTAGTTTTTCATTCTGACAGAGTACCTGAAACTTCAGGCAAGCATTTCTATCCTGCCTGGTCCCACAGCCATTTAACCCCAAATAAACACACGGAGGTTTATATAAATTGTAAACTCTTTGGCCAGTGGCTTAGGCTTCTTACTGGCTAGTCCTCTCTTAATTATTAACCCATCACTATTGATCTGTGTATTTCTACATGGCGTAATCTTACTGGAGAATGCCCATCGACCCATCTCCCTGGCAGCTCCTCTCTGCATCCTCTCCCCAGAATTATTCTCATCTGGTAGCCCCCGCTTAAACTTCCAGCCTGGCCACTGGCCCATCAGCGTTTTATTCATCAACCATTAAGAGAAACGTATATACAGAAGGGCCTTCCCCCATCAGGCAAGGAAGCTACGTTGTGGCTCATGATATCTGGCTGCTGGCTGTAGTCACTTGTCTCTTGTTTAAGCTGTAGTGAGTTGACAGTGTGGTAGTTACGTGAATAATGAAGGAGACAGGAAGAGGAAGGGGAAGAGAGTGGACCTGACTGAGGTCAGGGTCTATCCACCTTTTGAGCCGTGGACCAATGGCCCCTTCAGCTAGGCCCTGCACGGATCAGTGAGTTACCTACCATTAATGAAGTTAGTTTTCATCTAGCCACTGACAAGTGGCCCTGATAAGTCGGGAGTGGGCCTCCAACACAAAAGCTTTTGGAAACTTTTCGTGTACAATTTGCAGCTGTAACTTACTTTTGCTAGTCTATCATGTTCAGAGATCTATGTTGTCTTCATGGTTTATTGGGTTGGAAACCTCAAACTCTAGAAGTTTGACAGTTTGCCTAAGTTCTCAGAAGTGATGTCGTAGTGTGGGTTGCCCAGATTGTGGTACTGTGACCTGCCCTCTCATAAGATTTTCGCGTTGAAGACCCATAGCCGCGATGCTGTTGGGAAGAGGCTGCTAAGCAATAACAGAGAAAAGCAGAAATGACGTATGATCGAAAGAGAGCTTGCCGTCTCCGTGTGTCTGGATCCTCTCCTTCATACGAGGGGAACCTAGTTCAAAGCCAGGCCCCTGGGCTTCTATTTAAATGTCCCTCGGTGGATATCTGCATAAAACTATCCTGGTCAGATTTCTTTGTGTCTTTGTTTTTAGGTCAAATTGAAGTCTTCATGGATCGAAGACTCATGCAAGATGATAACCGTGGCCTTGGGCAAGGCGTACATGATAATAAGATTACAGCTAATTTGTTTCGAATCCTGCTGGAGAAGAGGAATGGGGTGAACATGGTAGGAAACACTAACTAGCCTTTTCTTATGTTGGTGGTTCTTTCCCCCAAAATTCAAAGTGATGACTTAAATTCTTAATCCAATTTCTAATATTGAGATGTCCTTATAATAGATTTAGCTTATATTCATAGAATTTTTCAGTTAGAAACTCTGAATAAGAACTACATTAGGCTAGATTGTTTTTTTTTTTCCTTTTCTTTACTACACAGACAAAAATAATTGCAAGGAAGCCATTTGGGTGAGATTATTTTCAAAGAAAAGACTGATCTATTGACTCAAGAATTACAGGATATAATATACTATAATATACTATTTATTATTGCTTAACTATACAGTGTATTTTTTTTTTTTTTTTTTTTTGAGATAGGGTTTCTCTGTATCGCTTTGGAGCCTGTTCTAGAACTAGCTCCATAGACCAGGCTGGCCTCGAACTCACAGAGATCCGCCTGCCTCTGCCTCCTGAGTGCTGGGGTTAAAGGTGTGCACCACCACCACCACGACCCAGCATGCAGTATATTCTACGCCTTATTGACTATACCATAGTCTAAAGCTTATGGTTTGAAAACAGACTGACTTTATGCCTTCCATAATCAGCACAATCAGTACTGGTTTTGTTTTGTTTTTGTTGTTGTTGTTTGTTTTTGCTTGTTTGTTTGGTTTGGTTTGGTTTGGTTTGTTCTACATAAAAACCCTGTGCTTTGTTAATCGGTGGGACAGAAGCTGAGCTACTGGTGAGCAACCTCCGTCTTCTCACCGATGGCAGCATTGACGCCTGTGGACCCTCCTGTGGGTCCTTTGTCACCTAAGCATCGTGCATTCCCCTCGTGACTTCTGCATTACACTCACTGGTTCTCAGCGCCCCTGCTCTGTGGCGTCTTTGCACACGCCTTCCCTCCTTCCTGTCAAGGGAATTCCTTCGGACCAGAGCTTACATCTTCCTTGCCCTCATCATCTCCTCTTACGCCCCCTGAAATGTCCACCTCCCAGTCGTGTTTGGTTAGTTGACCTCTATCTCTTTTCCTGCTTCCGTGACAGTAGGGCTCTGTCCTCCTCTGCTTCTAGGATCGTTTCTGTTTAGTGAAAGAACCCCGTGTACGGTGTAAATGGATGCCCACATGCTTAGGGAATGAGGCTGCGGAGCCCCGTGTGCTGTATTGGGATTCCTGCGTGCCTCCTCATGAATGTCTTCCTTCCAGACCCCTCGAATGTATCCACCTCATCTTCAGGCATCATGGGGCCTCTTTGTCCATGTAGACAGTTTGTGTCTGCAGATAGACAAATAGATTGAAGACAAACAATTTTATAGTATTTAGAATTAATCATGGAAAAATAATTAATATTCACTTTAGAATTTAAAATGTGTATCAGCTCCTGAGACTTCTGGCCTTAATCACTGACAACGTAGCCCAGTTATAAGAGCTGAAACTACATCTGTTTCTTCTCTTCAGATTGGCACTAACATAGAAAACTTGTGTTTACTACAGCAATAAAAATTTCATTTCAGACCTATAAAGCTTTCACTTAGAAGTTAAACAATTTGTTGATCCCATTCAAAACTCCTTGGATAGCAATTGATTTAAACTTGATTCAATATTTCTATAATCCTGTGTTAGGTAAATTTCTCAGTGACTTTAACTATAGATCTTAGGGCTTGAGTCCATAGATTCTTTTTAAATAAAAAATGAACCAGAGAAGAAACTATACATTTTAATTTGTAGTGAAATTGATTTAAAAGACACACGATCAAGAAACGGTATGTGTCCAGTGGGTTAACTTCTCTAGAGTGTTTTTTAATTTCAACTGTTCTGATGTTCGTAACAATGATGGTGAACGCGTGGTGCTAGGTAGAGACACCGGGCAGACTCGAGCGCTGGGCCTTGCTTTCAGGCTCTCCTGCAGAGACAGTGAGGGCACAGGCGTGGGGTGCCAGGGCAGATAGTGTCCCTGCCGTTGGCCAACGGAACTGTGAAACGGAAACTGTTTCAGCCGTTCACTCCTTGGAGATTTGATTTTTTGGCACCCTCCCCTTTTCTGGCAATGACTGGAATAGAAAAGGGACCGACCGTTGGTGATTCGGAAGCTGAGCAAGTGTCCCAGCCATGTAGATGTGCGTCTGACTGCCATTCTCTCCACATAAGGAAGCCCTAGCATGGAGCCCTTACCGTGTTTAAGAGCAAGTTCGTGTTGGTGGGAACCGGAATGCCCTGGCAACCTTGAGGACACGCATCCCATTGAGCATTCCATGTCAGCTCCAGCTGGCGGTTTCTAATGTGGGAATGCTGGTCTCAGAATTCTAGTTTCTGGTCAAAAGGATACCTGTTTAAGGTTTGGGGGGTACCTTTTGTGTGGTTTGTTTGTCTTTGTTGTTACTGGTTTTTGAGACAGGGTCACACTATGTGGTCTTGGCAGGCTGAACTCTGTGTAGATCAGGCTGGCTTCAAACTCACATAGATCCAACTGCCTGTCTCCCAAGTGCTGGGATTTAAAACTGTGTACCACCTTGCCCACGCTTGATGCTTTTTAAATCTGAATTTATAAAGAGGTAGCTTCTAAAACCTTTTTAAACACCACGCAGACCTACAAAAACACAGCTTATTAAATAAATAGACTTACTGCCACACAATTTATCAGGCTCCTACAAAGGGTCAGGTCAAACTGAGTAAACGGAGATGGCTTTTCCACAGTGACGATAGGCTGGGCTGCGCTTCAGTGATGGAGAATTTGCGTCATGTACAAAGGACACTGGATCCCACCTACAGCTCATCCCCACAAACAAAAACAACCGAAGACCCCCTCCTTACACATAATTGATTAGGTGAAGTGGAAGCCTTTGATGCTTGTAGGTCAGATATCTCAGGACAAAGGACGCCTCCAGAAGTCCAGCAACTGACCCAAGACAAGCAAAAAGGTTCCAGCTCTGTGTGGATGTTAAGCTGCACAAAGAAGGCTAATCCAGAACATTCCAAACAACAAGAAACCAAACTATGCTTTCAGTAGCGGTATTGGTAACCGAAGGGCTGGCAGATTCCCCACTTGTAGCTGAATGGAACAGGTGACATTTCTCCAGCACACATGTTTTAGAAATTTGGCCTTCTCCCAAGACTTGGTGCTTAGACTATTACCCTTCTAAGGGGTTAAAAAGTATGGCGGTTCATCTATAAACATCCCATTGAGCCCCTTGTTACTGTCATTATTGAAATGCATGTATGGGGGACCCTGGCTGAGAACATATTTACTGGCCAGCTCTGTGATTTGTCCGTTGTGCTTTTATGGGAAAAACTAACTATACCCTGTCTTGCTGAAAACGGTAAAGGGGCCAGGCCTTTCACTCTGTGACTAGTTGCATGTAAAAAAGTTTCCTTTTACGAAATCTGGTCAAAGCGTGTATGATCCTAGACCTTGTCGATTTCATGGGAGAGCCCACGGTGCCGCTCCTAGCTCAGGTCCACAGAGCAGCCTGCAGCGCAAACCTTGGGTTTTACCTGCAGCTTTCTATTTTACCTTTTCAGCTTTATGTTGCCAAGGCTCATACTTGGAGCTCTTGATTCTGGAGATGGGGCTAGGACCCATTAGTGGGTTTTGTAAAGGACCCCAAGCAGGGAAGCGCCAGAGTCCGGGGAACCGATCTGGCTTGGAGGATTGGTGTACGTGCATAGTGTTCTCAGTAGGGATTCATCAGCAAGTCCTCATTGTCACTGAGCATCTGTGTCCAGGGTTCCCCCAGCACAGCCCACAACCTGAGTGCGTCCCCACCAAGGACGCACTGAGTGCCTCTCGACTCTTATAAGGCTGTTTTCCTTCCTGTTGGAATCTTTCATCTTCCATTACTCAAAAGTGATTTTGTCAGCAATCCTGACCTAGATTGTGAAGTTGTTCGATCTGGAAGTCCATTTAAACGCCTTGTCGAGAATGTCCCCTGTCCAGTCATGTTCTTCTACAAGCTGCACTACATGGTTGGAGAATGTTATTTTATGTGCTTTATTTAATCTTTCTTTTAAAAAGCATGGGGAATTGATGCATTTTAATACAATTCTTTCAGAACTATTGTTTTTTCTTTTTGGCCAGCATTTTAATACTGCAGCATCCCTCTGATGCCGTGGAGTGTTTTCCTCTCCACGGTCTGAACTGTAATGAATCTTCTCTTAGCTTCTGGCACAATGCGAGCAGCCTTTTGCTAGCTCCTTCCCGTCCAGTCCTACTCTGACCTTCTGAAGTCTATGCTCCAGATCCTTAGAAATCTAGTCTTTTCACACAGATAGGTAGCCAAACCTTTGAGTCCCACCAAAAAAATGCAAAACCTGAAGATACCAGTCATTAAAAAGAAAAAAAGTTTAGCTTGCATAAACTGTAGCCGGCGATCAAAGGGCCCGTCATAAATCATTTTCCCCTCCCCATCCCTCTCGTATCTGTTTTTACTCCTTGGGTAGTATTAGCTAAGGGTCTGCCTATGAGTTTTCAGTTTTTTATGTCATCTTGCTTATGTATGTCCCTAACCCTGGTAGACTTACTTTATGTTGGACATGTAGAAATGTTGCCTAATTAGAATAGATACATCCTAGCAAAGCCTGAACATTTTTAAACTGCTGAGTAAATGGATGCCATGTAAATGTAGTAACTATATAATAACATATAGAATAGTTCCTGTTTTAAAATAAAAAAGAATGAAGAAGTTGGTGGTAACTTGCCAAATTCAAAGAACGCAGATGATCTAGATATGTTGCCAGTGGTTTTTATGTCCTGAACACATCAAATTCTTTTGAGAACTTTTTGTTTAGGGGTGTGTGTGTGTGTGTGTGTGTGTGTGTGTGTGTAAGGAAGGGTCTCATGCAGCTCAGACTGGCTTCTAATTCATTATTTAGCCAAGGCTGCTATTTTCTGTTTCCCAGTTCTGGGATTATAGACATGTGCCAACACAACCAGTTGGTTTGTTTTATTTTGGTTTTAATTGTATCACTTGGTAATGTTTAGGTTTCAAAGGGACTTTTTTGTTTTTACCATTTATGAAATATAGTTTTAGATCTGCATATGCCTTGTTAAATATGTTAAATGAACTCTTCTTGAGAATGTAATAAGTGAAACTTGGAGAAAGTGGTGATGACAGTCAGTGTTGTGTGAGTTATGGGACATCATGTTTCTTCTACTTTGAAGGTTTTGTAGTGGTCAGGAGTTTTCATAAAATGCTATTAATTACCAAAAAAGTGGAAATTGTCTTCAGTGTCTTTGGTGTTAACTGGATGGAGGGTATGGTTAGGGCATAAGTGGGTAGACACTATTACATTGCCTTCCCTGAGCTCCACACTCTACTGTATATTTTCTGTGACTGTCATCAGTGATGTACACCTCAAAGGGTTTATGTGTTTTGTATTTAAATTCTGTCAGACAATGAATTAATTTGGTGAGTGCTAGGAATACAGAGCTTGTAAGCATTTTTGGTTTTTCTTGATAGGAGGAAGACCAGAAGAGTCCAGTCAGTTACCCATCCCTCCTCAGCCACTTGACGTCATCCTTCCTCAACCATCCATTCCTGCCCCTGATACTGAATGTCCAGCTCTCGTCACCTGCTGTCGAGCTGCTGAATGAATTGCCTCTGCTCCAGTCATCTTTACCATGTGACATCCATCTGGTCAATCTGCGCACAATACAGTCGAAGGTAAGCTCCGAACCACATCTGCCTCAGACTGCTTTTCCCTCCATCCTTGGTTCACAGGGTGTGGAAGGAGAAGGCCGCACAGCGAGCTCCAGAGCAGTCAATCGCTCGGCACCTGTGTTCTTGCAGAGGACTTGAGTTCAGGGACTTCGAACTGCCTGAAAGTCAGCTCTGGAGGTCTGTGCCACTGCACGCATGCACACACACGTGCACATGCACACACACACACACACACACACACACACACACACACACACACACAGAGTAAACACACACGCACAAATAAATACATAAATATCTTAAAATAACACATTTTGAGCTTCCCTGTACAAGGACTTCCCCATTTAAATGCTGTACATTTGACAGTTGCTCTAGGTGAGAATATTCCAATATTGATGTATTTACCTCTCAGCATGGTCCTGTGTGGTCATGGAAGCTAATCCTGGCCTCAGATCTCATAATTGAGGGACAGAGCCAGACTCGTCTGTTCTAGTCATTGTTTCGTTTACTTCTGTTTGTCAGCCAGTATTTCTCAAAGTCAGAGAAATACCAAATGTAGTGTTCAACCATTTCTACAATGGATGCTTTGTTTTCCACTTGTGTTTGAAAGCAGTGCGGCTTGTGTTGAGAAGCAGCCTTTAAGATGTTTGAGAAAGATCACGGGAGGATTTGTTGGGCATCCAGTGTAGCGGCTGGTGTGTTGGCTTATGCTTGTGTCCATATGGAGTAAAGACCAGACATTTGCCATCCTTCCTCTGTGTGATGCAGCTGTTTTGATGTTGTGAGTAGGTGCACAGCTGGATGTTGTAAGTGGCAGGGACAGTAAATGACTTCAGCTCATCCTGAGATGAGAGAAGGATTTAAGAGTAAAGGAAGTAAACGGAGGGAAGCAGGGAAGGATGACTGTCTGCACTGTGGATGTTTAGTGCTCTACCCACTTCACGCCCAGGGTGAGGAACTTAGGCTGGGCTGGGAAGGACGCTGTGTGACTGTAATAATGCAAGCACGTGCTGTTATGAGTAAGGTGTTCCTGCCAGCCCCATCATGGGGGCCAAGAGCAGTTCAGAGAAGGTGATGCAAGTTTTCTTGGGGTGGGTAGAGAAGGTGAGAATTGGGGTAGAAACCGGAGGAGGCCAGGAAATAAAGGTCCAATCCATATTTCTGGGGTTTGTGGAGACTGATCTTGGTAGAATTGAGAGTAAGTGTGAAAGCTGTAAGGGACACCTGTGGGCAGAATTTGGGACCTCTGTTCTTGGTCTGTCCACTGCTGTGTCCTCCTGCCTAGGAAAGAGCCTGGGTGCGGGATGGGACCCTCTGCTGAATGAGTGAAATGTGAGGCTGTTTAGCATAGGGTTCTCCTGTGGGTCACGACATCTTTGGCAAACCTCTTGTCTCCAAAAATGTTTACATTACGGTTCGAAACAGTAGGAAACTGACGCTTATGATGTATTAATGAACATAACTTTATGGCTGGGCGTCACCACAATATTAGGGAGTGTATTAAAGGGCCACAGCAGTAGGGAGGTTGAGAAGCACCGGACTAGCATCTTATCATGTACTTTAGTGTGTTTTCTTTTTGCCCCATGAGGACCAGAGTGGCCTAGGGGAAGAGTAGCTGAGGTAACGTGTCACCAGCTCACACACTGAAAGAGAACAGAAGGTCAGAGGTCACAGAAGGCTCCCGGGCACAGGCTCCACTCGGCCTAGAGTCAGAGGTCCTAGCAACCTGAGAGCCCCAAGGCTTCTGACCCTGGGGACATTCCGGCCACTGTCCCCCAGCTTCATTTACAAATGACCCCTCTCCTATAACCAGATGAAAGGTGTGGATTCTCAGAGCAGCCCACGGTGCCTGAGTCACTTAGTGGAGGATAGATAGGCTCATGGCCTCTCTAGTCCAAGGCTGGCACTAGTTTTCATGTTAGTGCTCTTCAAGGGTAACTTCTTGCTGGCCTTTTTGTTGGCTTCTCTTCCAGTTACAGGAGTTTAATTACTTCCTGTTCCAGTCTGTCTCTATTGTTGTGATAAAAAACACTCTGAACAAAAGCAACTTAGGAAGGGGGAAAGATTCATTTCAGCTTTCCCTTCAGGACCAATCCATCACTGGGGAAGACGGGTGGGGGTCTGGACCTCAGGGCAGGAACCTGGAAGCAGGAATTCAGGGGAGGAACCATGAACGAAGGCTGCTTGCTGGCTTCCTCCTAGTCTCAGGGTTAGCTAGTTTTCTCTTACAGCCCTGGACCACCAGTGCCAGTGGTGGGCTGGATCCTTGTCAGTTAAGAAAAAGAATCCCTCAGAGACATATCCACAAACCAAGCTGATAAAAAGCAGTTCCTCCTCACTCTTGTTTCCTCTCCGGTAAATCTAGGCCCTATGAAGTTGACAATTAAGGCCAACCAAGCACCACCCCTATGGAAAATCCTACTTCATTAGTTGACAGCCTTGAGCATCCAGGCTCCTGCAGACTCCGCCCTACCTACTGCAGCCACCGCCTTCTCGTGGACCTCTCGTTCTCTGCCTGCAGCTCAAGAGACTGATGATTTAGCCTAGTTTATGAAACGGGGCCGTTTCTGGTGTACCTGCCCCCAAGCTTATGGTGAAAAGGTGATTATTTTGAATGGTTCTGGAAGGCGGAGACGCTTGGGAAGAGGCAGTTAGCCCTGGTGATGCTTGCAGTGTGCCTTTGGGCAGCAGGTGGGAACAGAGAATAAGTGAATGTCAGATCTGAAAAGGAAGAACTGAAATGTCAGTGGCATTGTACCAATGCCAGCATGGAACCAGAGCTAAAGACGTTAGGCTATTTTTATATTGTTGGATCTATTGGGGAAAGTTCCTGTGTTAGCTTTGGACTCTGCGCATGCGTTTTGAATAGTCACTGAGAAAAATTGTCACTGGTCCATTTAAACCTATAAAGAGTTATGGTTTTTTTTTTTTTTTTGTCCCATGGCCTTTGCAAAAGTAAGGTCATCATTCGGTAAAGCCAGTGTAAATATTGTCTCAACAAAGTTGCTGCCCAAAAATGTATCCATTGTTACTCCACAAGATGCCAAAGTAGCAACAGTGTAATGCCACGAAAGCCAGAAAGGATCAGATGGGTGAGTGTGGAAGCTGGATTTCAGTGTTCTGAATCGGTTCCCTGGCTTTGTGTGCTGGCAGCATCCAGTATACAACAGTGGGATTCATTCCCCCAAGGTACTGCAATATCAATATTGGTTCTAAGCAGGACCCAAGGTTTGCACTGCAGTACATCAGTCAATTACATGTTTCCAGTAGCCCCAAGGACTGCTTGCCCTGAGAAAGGTACTGGTCTCCTCCTCCCTGATACTGACAAGCAGCAGCATCATGGAGATACCTTTGCTGCCCGTTTTCCATCCTTGGCCGCTCAGCCCTAAATTTCAGCCTGGTCACCCTAGCTGCTCATGGGTAAGAGAGTTACAAGTTCAGAGAGCAGTGGGAAAGACCAGGGCAGCGCCGTGTCACAAGAGTGACAAAGGTCAGGTGGCAGGGAGGTACAGATTCTCTGAGTGGAGCTCATGTCTGGGGACCTTTAGAAATGGAGGCTTTTGATCGGTGTGCCCATCTCAAAGATCCTGAGATTCAATAATTCTTTATCTAAGACAGTAATTTAGAAAATCCTTTTCTTTTGAAGCTAGAAATTAGCAAGTTCCCACCATTAAAATAAGGGCTATAGATTAAATCCACATAAAATCACCTGGTAGGTCTGATTCTGAGTTCTGTTTGTGGCCTCAGAGGTGTTATTTGATTCTTTTAGAGTTATTATTTCTGTTTTCCAAAGTCCCAAACTTGCAAGACTTTTCCTGGTATTAGTAGACGAGCTTATGTTTTTTATATTGGCATATTTACACTTGCACTTTGTGTATTTGGGAAGTGATTTCAGGCTGTGTTTGTAGGAGATGACAAGCAGGAGTCTCAGGAGCTCCGCCCGCCACAGAGTGCAGTGTGGGCTGGCTCATCCCGGCCAGGCTGCCTGCGAGTTCCACTGCTAACCTTCCCACTCAGTACGCCTCCCTTGTCATGCTCGCTCCTTTGAACTGTCCTCTCTTGATCATTCTCTCTTCCCTTTACTATCAAACACTTGGAGTGAAGCTGGTTTTTGAAGGTTTGAAGTTACCTAGGTAACGTGAACACCACCAGAGTATATTAAGTAGAGACCAGGGACACTGGGAATGGACAGCTCTTTAAGGAAAGGGGAGTCTTGTGCCGGGGATACTGAAAGACGCCTGGCTTAGTAACGTCTCTTGGCTAGCATACAACACCATAACCAGGGCAACTTATAAGAAGAAAGCATTTAATTAGGGGCTTGCCTGAAGCTCCGAGGTTCCATGATCACCGTGTCAAGAAGCATGGCAGCAGGCAGGAAGGGATGGGCTGGAGCAGGAGCTGCGAACTTACATACAGCCATGAGATGTAGAAGGGGAGGCTAACCTCAAAGCCCACCGCCAGTGGCACTCCTCCTCCAAGGCCACACCTCCTAGCCCTTCCCAGACAGTTCCACCAAGGGGCAAGTGGTCAAAGATGGGAACTGGTGGGGGCCGGTCCCATTCAGATCACCCCAGTTCTCATGGGTAAACAGATCATGAGTCAGAGCACCCACCGAAGCGGGCCTGCAAAGTTCACCTTGGCGACGGGGGTGGAGGGGTGGTGCCATTCAACTTTGTTGCTTCAAAAAAATAATGTATAGCCCAGATTGTGTCAACTTACTCCATGGTTCTTTATGCTTCGATGTTTTCATTTAATTTGCACACATCACTCCATGTTCTCTGTGTGATTCTTTTTAGTCTGTGGTTAACTGCGTTCTTGCAAAAAGTTAGCCAACCATTTCCAAATCAGAGCCACTTTTAAGGGGAAGCTCCCTGTCCTTGCTTGCTTATGCTCCCCATCCTCCGTAAGTGGCACTTTGAGGTTTTTGTTTTTCCTCTTTGAAAAGAGTGATGAGTGCTTTATTTATCTTCCTAGCTTCTGGAGAGGTGAGAATTGAGGGGGTTGGCTGTCCTTTGTTGTGCGTGTCTAAGAGCAACTGCTCACCTTCCCTTAATATCTGTTATCTTATCTTGTCGATCAAAACCCAGAACTGTTACTGGGCATGTTAATGAGTGTCCTGAAAAATGAATTTTTACTGGTTACTTTCTGTCTCAGGAGTTGCAGTGAAGTGTAGGATTTTCTCCCTGCCGGAATACAATGAAGATAAATGTTGTGCAAGTTACTAAATGTGTTCCTAAAAGTCTAAATTCTTGAAGGAATTTTCCTACGTGGTATTTAGGGTGTTTAGCTTAGCATGTGAAAGCCTTTGAAGTCCTATGGGGACTGTGTCCCCTTGCTGTTTTTGGAGACTCTGGTCGGTTAGGGCTCATCCCATGCTTCCTCTTAGCGTGGAAGTAAGAAAGGAAAGATTCTGCTGAAAATGTAGACTTTTCTTACAGAGGTGCAGTGACCATTGAATGGTAAGGTCCTGGGGTGCTGGAGCAGGACCGAGGATTATCCTTGCCCCCTCCCAGACTGTTAGAGAGAATGTGTTGTGGCAGGTACTTTCCTGCATATGCAAACTGCTGATATTATATTATGTCTAAGTTTGTTGGCCATCTTTAAGGTTATTGCTGTGTAAAGTGAGTTCATACGTGAAGAGCATTGTGTATGTTGTCTGTCATGCAGCCTGTATTAATCACGTGTTAGTGATCACTGTGTTCTCACGGTTGGCCTTTGCTCAGGGGGACTCTTCAGGACTCTAATGCAGCTCCTTGCAGTTACTGCGTAAATGGGTGAAGTTTTCTCGAATTCAAGTTAAGTTCAGTTTCCCTGCTTTTTTTGATTAATGTTATCTTACTGAAAAGTATTTCATTGAATATATTCTAATAATGCTTTATCCTCTCCCAACTCCTCCTACATCACCCCCCCCCCAAGAACTCCACACTGATTCTGTCTCGGTAAAAAACAGATAAACATACACATTCACACACACACACACACACACAGTCATTGAATCAGAAGCTTATATAAACAAACAAAAAATTCCCAAACAAAGCAATATGAGAGTGAAAGTCTGGAAAATGCCATTGAGTTTGTTGGATGTGGACGTCTATTGCTGCATTGGGGCCTGCCCTGAAGTGTGTCAAGTGCAAATAGCTGCTAGGTTAAGGAGGGGAGCCCAAGTCACTTGCCCTTCTCAGCACAGGGACTGGGCCTACATGATCCAGGAAGCCACTGCTCTTTGTGGCTGAGGGTGTAGTTGGGGCAGTCATTTGCCAGTGTTGACACATGTCCTCCCCAGAGTGGCTCGTTCCAAGAGGGAGTCTCAAGCCTACTCAAATGAAGCAAACTGCGATTAAAACTTTAGAAGAACACCAGAGTTTGTTTAGAGTTGGCTAACTACTCCCGGCATGGGCTTGCCCTGAGGAGTGGTAAGGTAGCCAGTGAGACTCCATTGGAGAAAACTGATTTGCCCTTTGTGAGCGGGTGTGGATTGCAGATAGCTTCTTGGTTGGGGTGGAGCTCAAGTCAACTTCCCACTGTGCATGCTGCCATGGCCTCTGAGTTCACGTGTGTGTCAGTGCTGTTGCGCCTGGAAGAAAGACACTGCTTCTTTGGAGTCCTCCTCCATCCCCTCTGCCTCTTGCAATCCTTCTGCCTCTCCTGCATAGATCCCTGAGCCTAAAAGGCAGGGAACAATAGTTTTATGAATTTATGAATAGGAATTTAAATGAAGTTCGACTCCTTTGTGCTCAGTGAGATATCTAAGTATTGTCTTCAGTACTAGGGCCTTACCTTTAGTTTATGGAGGGCAACTGCTAGCCTTAGCAATAGCTGTGATGTTTGAGATTTTCCATGGCACTCCTCTGGCCAAAAGAATCAACAAGATGTCGCCCATTCCTGTCCCTGGACGTTTCACTTGGGGAAAGATGTCTCCTCGGGACATTCTCTCCCCTGTAATTTGATTATTCCATTGAGATGTCTTGAGAGAGAGAGAGAGAGAGAGAGAGAGAGAGAGAGAGAGAGAGAGAGAGTGTGTAATATTCTACAGTACTAGGTTAAGTGCCTTTTATGAATGCTCCAGAGAATTAAAAATGCCATATATGTTAGGTTAATAGTGACAAGTGCTTCTAAAAGAATTTAATTAAGAAGGCATCTAATTTATGAATCCACATATAGACACTTTGGGACTTTGCTATATAACCAGAGATAAATAACTGGACACTTCTCTTATTCTTTAGCTACAGAGTTATGATGTCAATTTATGAATATGAACTTCATTTCTATTGGTTGTAATGTTTCTGAAGTAATCACCTATTTTAATCTGATGAATTTCTTTAAAAACACAAATAGCTAACATTGTGAGGGCACCCTATATCAAGCACTGGACCACATCTTCTCCACGTTATTTCATTTAATCTCTATTTCGTAGAAAAGGGAAAACCTGGTTTTAGTAAATACAGCTATTAAATTGCGGAGCACAGAGTGGCTGACCAAGTCCTCACTGATTTTCTGAGCCACCCATCTTTGGCGTCTCGCCTGGCACGTCTTGTCCTTTGAGGCTCTGTGAGACCAGTATAGACAGAATTCCCGCTGGAGTCATGCACAGAATGAATTCATGCAGGAAACAGGCAAACTGTAGTTCTATTTTATAGACAAATTAGTGCTTAAAACAAGTTGCTGTTTCCAGGTATCACAGTTGGGACAGGATTGAATTCTCCTTGTGATTCTTGTGATCATGTGTGTATGATTAGTGAATTAGTGAAGGGTCTTCTATGTGCTAGTTTTATGCAGTGAAATGTGGATCAGGACACAACATTTTGTTGAAGTTTTATTAGACATCTTTATCATCTATAGATTCAAAGTTGTGTATGTCATGGTCCCCTGATGTCTCCGAGTTCTTTAAGTCTTTTCTCTCCCTTCAGACAAAATTTTTCAATATCACTGGACATAACAGCAGTGCACAGCATCCTAGCACACTATCCCAGGTCAGACCCTGGGGGGGGGGGGGAGGGGATGGAGGGCAGCGGTTTAAACTGCTCAAGCCCCTAGTCACATGGAGATTCTCCTAGCAGCCATTCAGGAAAGATACCCCTGCATCACCTGAAACAGAGCTTGGCCTCTAGTGATGATTGATGTCCATGAGCTTGGCCACGTCATCTCTCCGGCTGAGGAAGAGAGAAGTAAAGCGTGTGTGCCACAGGCGGATCGCCTTTGAATAGCTTACATGTCATAAAAGTTCCATAGATATTTAGTCGTTTATCCTCACAAGCACCCTAGCGCTTTTTCTCCAGTGTGTGTGTTTTTGAGTGCGCCTGTGAGCGTGTGGGGGCGGGGGGCTGCAGAACACATGTGGAAGTTAGAAGAAGCCTGCCAATGTTGGTTCTTGCCTTTCCTCCCTTGTTTGAGGCAGGGTATCTTTGCTGCTGGGTAAGCTAGGCTAACTGACCTGTGAGCACCCAGAGATGCCTTCTCCATCCCTCGTTTTCAGGTAGGGATGGCCATGATAGGAGATGCTCGCACTTTGCTTCTGCCTCTTGTGTTGGTCCTGGGGATTTGAACTCAGATCATCAGGCTTGTTCAACCTAGTGCTCTTTCTCACCGAGTCATCTCTTCTAGCCCCATCTTTACACTTTAGAAAAAATATATATGTTAAAATAATGCTAACTTCATATACCCCAAAATCTGAACAATATGTGGCATCACTATTTAGATGGATGCAAGTGAGTGTATTGCAATGAATAAACAAACAAACAAATAAAATGTATGTTTATCCTCATCACTGACTGGTTATGTTTGTTTTGTTTTTTTCTCTTTGCCCCAGGAGGATTCCTGTAATGTAAACGTAAAATGATATATCAAATTAAGATATGTGGGCTGGCATAGCATAACTAACTCAATTTAAATGTCTCTTGTATAAAAATAATGAACCGACACATTAAAGTTTAAACATGTCAGTGTACCTCACAGAAAGTAGGATTTCATGGAGAAGAGCTTTCCCATGTTATGGCTGATGTTTATCATTGCTTGACCAGACCTAAGTTTATGTATGTTTTATTCAATGGATGTGCATGTAAAAAAAAATTAAATTATTTTACTTGAGAATACTTTTTAATAAAACAGTACTAACATGTGGGCAAAAGCTGTCTCTTTAGGCGTCATGGGGGGACACAAAGGCATGAAGTTACTTAACCAGGACCTTAATGGTAGGTAAACTTGAGTGGGGATAGAAATGAACACTCACCCAGTGTGAAACCTTTGAAGAGATGAATTTATCATATCTCATTGCTGACTAAACGCACAGACATCCAACAATGCTGTGTGACACTGATGTAAATACTCAGGTTAATGCATGTATGGTATATTGGTGTTCTCGTTTTCAGATGGGCAAAGGCTACTCAGATGAGGCAGCCTTGATCCTCCACAGGAAAGGGTTTGATTGCCACTTCTCCAGTAGAGGCATGGGTCTGTACTGCTCTACCACTCAGGGAAAGGTAAGTTAAGAGTGTTCCTTTGCTAGTCAAGATAGTGTGTTTGAAACCTTCACTTTCTGCACAGGGTACGATGTGGCTTTCCACTGTCCAGAGCTCATTTGCTCCTTCCTGCCTGCAAGCCAACCTCAGTCTCCTCACCCCCAGGAAACGCTTGTCCCACCTAAGCTCTGTCCTCAGCTTCTGGAATCTGTACACTTTTGAAGTTAATGTTCATATCGTCTCCTTGCTATTCCACCTTGAGACTACAGAGCACCTTACACCTCCCCATTTTCAACTCCTCTGGGCCACCCAGGCCCACATACCGTGTAGTTTAGTCATGGTGGGTAGAAACCAGGTGCGACAAAGGATGAGACAAATTTTCAAATAACTGATGGTTGGCATAAGAATGAAGTTATGGCATAAACATCAAGACCATGGTCAGTGAATACTTGAGGAGGACCCAGGGGCAGCTGTGCAGAGCTCAAGTCAGTTGACTCATTTGGAGAAGTAAATGTGTGTCTAGGTCTCCTGATTGATCCAGATTGCGTCTGAGTCATCACTGTGGAGATCAGATGGCTCGTTAGTCTGCACGCTGCTGGCCGCTTGCCTGTTCTTGATTTTTCTCCTTAAGTTGGTCCTCTGGCAGTTCATCAGCCTCTCCTTGGAAGGATGAACATCCAGTATCCTGCCTCTAAGTGAGTCATGACTCACAAAGCAGCTGTCTGGTCCCTGCACATAGCCAGGTCCTCCCACCCAGCAGCTTGACAGAGCCAGCTATCGGCCGGAACTGCATAGGCACACCGCAGAGCAGGCTCAAGCAATCTTGTCCCAGGGCTACCAGTTAGCACACATTCTGAGGTCTGAGAAGCAGGTTAGCCTGGATGACTGTCTTTTTCCCACTCTTCCTATGTGTGTGTCTTCCAGTGTATTTATTTCCGCTCTATTAGTGAAGATCTGACTGTGCGTAGTGAACTTTCTAGTGTGAAGGTATTGAGTCTTAAGAGGGATAACAGAGATAAATTGTTCAAAGAGGCACTTTAGGGTAACCTGGCAGGGTGAAGAATGTATTTTCCCAATGTCCCAGTAGGTTGAGGTCAGTAATATATTGAGCCATTGTTATAATGAACCTGTATCTCGTTTTTTCAATGCTTTTGGAAAGGGGGTGGGGACTGGTTTAGAATCACCATTATTAGGGATAAATAGTGACCAAAAGAAATTGATTTTAAAGTCCTCAGGGACCACAGGGACTTGTTGACTCTTATATGACTCTCTTCTGTTGAAAATGTCCAGGTATAATACTGAGAGAAGTGCAAAGGAATGGCCCACAGCGTGCATCTCTCCAGGGATGGTTTGCATGTTCAGGAATGTCCTTCCTCCTTTCCTTTCTTAAAGGGGAAGTCAGCATATAAATATACCCCTTCCTGTACTTTCCTTAAATGGATTTTATAGATGTGCTACTAGCCTTCCTTCTCTAGGGCTGGTCTGAAAATGCAAATATCAGGTTTTATGTGAAAATGCAAATCTTGTCACTTGGTTTTGTTTTTTTTTTTTTTTTTTTAGATGTCAGTCACAAAACTTTTTAACAAGTTTGCTGTGGAGAGCCTCATCCCTTCCTCACTGTCCTTGATGCACTCACCTCCGGATGCCCAGAATCTGAGCGAAGTCAACCTGAGTCCCATGGAAATCAGCACGTTCCGAATCCGCTTGCGGTGAACCTGTCACATTTGGCTTCCTTACCTCCTTGGTTTTTACGTGCAATAACTAAGCACATTACTTTAGCATCTGGCTACTGTGAGAACATGAATTCTGTGATTTGGTTTTTTTTGTTTTGTTTTGTTTTGTTTTAAACCAGTCTAATAAGAAAAGAAGAAAAAGCCATGCTTTCAAAAAGGTTTCTTTTTCTAAGTTTGTCCCACACAGCACCGCTGTCAGTGTGAAGCGACGAAAGAAAACGAAGCTGCAGAAGCGTCGAAGGACAACCCTCAACAGACCGCGTCTCAGGTTAAATGCCAACTAATTACGTTTGCATTGAGGGCCGCAAAGAGAGTCTTAAGAATATCCATTTTTATGATCATTAGTTTTATATATACATATAAAAAAAATACCCCTTTGACCTAAATGGAAAGGAAAAAAAAAAAAATACAGAAGTTGGTGGGGAATAGTTTAATAGCCAAAATAGTTGTAATCATTGATCATTGCTACAAATGTATAATTTTGTGTGTGTTTCAAATATGTGGAAAAGTGCAATCCCTAGACCCTTATGGTAAATGCAGTTGATTTTCACACTCTTTCCCAATGAAGCTCGTGACTACCCTTTGCTACCCATACCTTTAAAATGATAACTGATTTTTGTAGTCATTCACCAGTAGAAAAAGAGGCATATTTTCATTACTTGACAATGTGGGATAGGGTGCAATTTACTCCGTTGTCACCGACACAGAAGAAGCAATTCCATTTTAGGTACCACAAGGTGTCTTTTTACACAGCCCATTTGAATACAGGTGTTCCAAGGTGGGGTTTTCTATTTTTAAATTACCATATCAAAATAAATGTGCCTTATTTTTTTATAAGTCTTGTTAAATCTTTTGGTGTCCACATTACTGTTTGGGGAGGGGAGGGGTGCGGGGGGCCTGGGGCAGGGGGTGGGTACTTTCTAGGACACGTAAATTACGTAATTTTAGCTTGATAATGCTGGCCACATTCTGATCTGTCTCATTAAATTTGTGGTGGTGTTACTCTAAACATTTTGACTATTTGAATGTACTGAGATGTCAGAAAACAAAACAAGGAAGAAAAATATTGTTAATTAAAATATGCTGCTGCCAAGGAAACTGCAACTTGAAGCAAGGATTTTGTAACACACGAGATCCAAATACTGTTTGCATTTCACAGTAGTTAACCATATTAAAGAGAGAATGCTTTAAAACAGACTGTTTTAAAATCCATGCGTGTAGCTCATCTTGATGTCTCTTACTAAAGAACATGTTCCAAACTTCTGTGTGTGGTGAACTCAGAGTGTTATTCTAGCCTGTGTACCATCACAGGACTTCTAAGTTAGAGATCATTGTTTCTTTAGTATAATAATAGTATTTCATGTCTGGCTAGAAATGACTTCTCTGGCTGTGTACACTTCTGAAAAGAATCTCTTCAGTGCCGTAACCTGGTTTAGTATTATCTGACTTTAAACTTCCGTCTGCCTCTTGTCATTCCAATACGTTACAGAGAAAACTCATTTCTGCCTCGCCATTTATTCGGATAGTCATCTGACTTTCCGCTCAAGACGCAGCTCCTGCATCCACTGTTCAGTTCTGCTCACAGGCTCCTTTGCCTGTAACCATCAAGGAAACAGTGCCAGAGTTCATGACAGTACTGCAAGGGTATAACTTCGTGCAATAAGAATATGATGTACATTCCCTTCTCATTTGTTGGGGAAAACACAACAAAATGACTTCCTTCTGTAAGACCTCTACAGACATTGGCTAGGATAGCCAGGAGCCAATCCTAGGAATGTGATGAGTGTTCTTGTTGTATCTCAAGGGTACACCTCCCCGTGGGTGTTCACTGTTCACCGTGTACTGTAGTGTAAGTGACTGTACTTAGCCACTACAGACAGTCTAGTGAGATGAAATGGAATCTGATGCAATAAAAACGGCTCTGCCCTGTGTTAGTGGGGCTCTTACTCAGTGTGTGTTGCCACCAGCTATTTACTCACAGGTGAAGCAGAGATTCTATTTTACCAGCAAGTTTCTGCTTTTTAAAGTTATTTTCAGAATGCAACATCAGGGAAATGAAGAGAGGGTTTTTTGCTTCGGGCTATGGTCAAGAACTAACTAAATAATCCGGTTTCTGTGGCACACAAGAGGAGCCAGCCACACGTCAGTCATTCAGTTAGATTTCATTGCGTGCATTGTCACAAATGTTCAGCGGACCAAGTCATTGCTTCTCTGCTCTCCCCGCCCCCCCCACACTTCTTGAAATTTTAATTTTGTTTATTAGGTGCATTGTTCAAATATCAGTGATCTCGTTTTTCCAAAAGATAGGGATTTAAGTAAACTTCTGTAAGATGTTATGTTATAAATCATTGTAATTCTCTGCCTGTGTCTTTGTCCTTGTGCCGAAATGTCTTCACAGACCTTTGTCGACAAGATAATGTCTGCTCTCATTCTGCTTATTTTGCTCATTGAAATCAACAGGTTTTGATATTTTTCTCTTGGAAGATTTTTATAACTTTTTGGGAATATGTAATATAAGATCTCTAATAAAATATAATCTTATCCTGTGTACTGTCTTCTGGAGTTGTTCTTAATCCTATTTGTAAACAGACATATTAACACATTCATGTCAAAGAGGAGGAGAGTGGGGAGCCGCTCTCTTTTCCTTCGTGAAGGGATCACTCGCGTTCTTCAATCGCGTTCTTCATCCCAGCTCTAGTTAGAAAAAGGCGGCTCTGTGAACAGGTGGAGATGAATATTAGTCAACCCACGCCATGTTTGGAGTACCTTTGGTCTGGAGTCTGGAGACTGGCTGGGTGCATGGATCCATCCTTAGCCAACTGCATGACTGGAAGACTCCGGTCAGATTCTATATATGGGAAGAGCAGGACAGAGCAGAAAGTAGAGGCAGGTCGGCACCGGACGCTAAGAGCGTCCATATAAACTGATCCAGAAAATAAAGCTAGTGGCAAGAGAGGATGCCCAATGCTGTCCCTGCTCTGTCCAGGCTAACACACAGCTTCGAGGCCTGAGGAATACCTTCAGAAATTCCCAGTGGGTGAGGTCCACAGATGCATGCTAACTGGGAAACTTAGAATTAAGAAATCCAGAAAACTGTGTGTGTGTGTGTGTACACAAATGTGTAAAAATCTAGAGAAATAAGTATATTTACCTGGAAAATAATAAAAGTCAGGCCTTGGCACCATACATTGTGACTATCAGCATGTTACAGAAATGTTAATATTAAAACCGGTAAGGAAAATTTTGGTTGAGGTGAGTGTGTGTTCCTAACACGTCCTACAAATATTGATCTGAACGCACCTGGGGTGACTCTGGCTTTGAGTGGTTGGGTCAAACCTATAATAGAGAAGGAAGAAGCAAGTGAACACAAATGCCTTGAAGCTAACATGGGCAAGGATCCTTCTGTAGAAACTGCCTTCATGTAACCTAGGAAAACGCCCTCAGTAAGAAATGTTCGGGAGAGAGCTCTCCCGTTCAGCGGAAGCCAAGTGTGGGGTTCTCCAGGTTCCCCTCTATCTCTTGGCTTCCCTGCTGCTGTCCTCATTCTCAGACCCCCTTGGTTGGCAAGCATGGCCAGCAGACTAGCCTGGTGTGTATATAAACATGCAGAGCCCCTGGTAGAAAGATCACCTTTATCTCATTGTGTGTAGCACCTGTCTTGTAGTTAACGCCACTGGCTCTCTGTAGACCAGGCTGGCCTGGAACTCACAGAGATCCTCCTGCTTCTGTATCCAGAGTGCTGGGATTAAAGGTGTGTGCCATCTCCGTTCTGGTCACTGGCTCTCGTCTAGTTCAAATGGCAATGATTGCACTAAGGATGTAGACTTAAGAAACCTATGGCCAGGCATTGGTGGCGCACACCTTTAATCCCAGTACTCAGGAGACAGAGGCAGGTGGGCCTCTGTGAGTTCGAGGCCAGCCTGGTCTACAAAGGGAGTTCCAGGACAGACTCCAAAGCAATGCAGAGAAACCCTGACTTGAAAAACAAAACAAAACAAGCAAAAACCAAAAGAACCCTGTGAATTACATAGGAGAATGGGCCTGTGTAACATTGGAATCAAGTGTCATTAAGGTGATGGTGTTTTGGATTTCCAACAGGCAAAATACAGTAGGAAGGCGTTGCTGAGGAAATCCTAATGCAGATGGGACATTTAGAGGAGGCAGAGCGAATATCTAATTTGACTTTCAAGAAGGTTTCTTAGAGGAAATAAGCTTGAGGTGATTTGTAAAAGGTTAATCTGACCTTAGCAGAAAAGACTTTAGGCCTAGTTAAAGACCAGAATGGGGAAATGTGGTAATGCATGGCCCAACCTGCAAAGTGGGACACCTTCCCATTCTCTGCGCAGAGCTGCCAAGCAAACCTCCATATAGGAAACTTGCACTACATACACATAGGCCACTGTGGTAGCCGCCGGCCACTGTGGCCCCGCATGTCGGGAACATCAGTGCAGCTCGTCGCTGAGTGGTTTTAATGTAGTGAGACATCAACCCCAGCTGCACCTGTTGCACTGACCATGCCCACTGGGGCATGGGGACAGGTGTGGGCGTGACCTGGGAGGGAGTGGCTAGGTCTAGGGTCCCAGACCCCAGCTGGCTCTCTCTTACTTCCTGGTTGGAGACAGAACATCTGGAGGTGTCCTTGGGAAGGGAACCTACTGGCGGTCATCTGTTTTTGGTGTAAGTGATTTCTTCCCAAATAAACATCCTTCAGCCTATTGGTTTCCCAGATTTTTATTTCCCAGGCATTAGCTTAATGCGGCTTGAATGCAGCATATGGCTCCTCTTATGGAACAACGTGTCATAAGCATAAGTGAATAGGACAGTCGAGCATAAGCCAAATTTGGGGTCACGTTTTGCTCTAGTCCTCCTCCCACTGTGGTGGGCAGACCGGAAGAATTCGCCTGTCCTGGAAATCTGTGGGCCCACAAGCCCTCAACCCCTCCCCCAGACCATGAGAATTGGAGTCTGTGCTCAATGAGCACTGGTCTAGCATGTTTCTTAAGGAGTAGTCTCTCTGCATGTTTCCTTAACTGTTTAGAAATAGTCCTGTGTCCCACAGAGGGCAGAAAACATGCCCAGAGCTAAGTTGCCAAACCACACCCAGGCTGCTCCCTTGGGCTCCTAACAACTGTCCGCTTGCAGCCTGCTGATTGTGGGGTTCGCTTTGTTTCCCACACAGATGCCGAGGTGAGCTTCTAAAAAGTGGCATTTGGGGTTCTTCCTTGGTGTTTGTTCCCTGTTTGCAATACAGTTGAAAAAGCATGAAGTTGTGCCAAGACCAAAGAACCAGACCTGGCCTGACTGACTGTGCCAGTTTGGTAAATCCTGTCAGACCAGCTGCCAGGCCTTCTACACTGCCCTTCTGTCTGCTCGATGTCTCCACGGCTGCCCAAGGGCTTTTCACAGACGGGCAGCCATCTCGCCCGCTCTTCTTGAGAATTTCCCTTTGCCCAGTAAGTGTCTGGTGGTCCCCCCCCCCCAGCACTGGAAAGCTTTCCAAGTCGCTTTCTTGCCTTCCTTCTCTTCCCATGCCTGACGTCCAGTAGGTTGGACTTGCCCGGAATGTAAATCTTGTTGGCTTTGTATTCTTTACAGCAAAAGAGTCCCCTAAATGTTCATTCTTACTTGGATTTTTTATTTATTTTTTATTCTTTGGGGGCCTGACACCCAGCTCTTAGGTAAACACACACAGACTTAGTTTTACTTAGGAAGCCCAGCCTTAATTGGGCTTGTTTCTAGCCTGCCTTTCTAACTTAAATTATCCCATTTCTGTTTCACTGTCTCTTGCCTCTGGGCGTTTTACCTTTCCTAACTCTATGTGTCTTCCTACCCTCCTCACTCCGTGGCTGCCTCTGTGGCGGTGTGGCTGGGTGTCTGGGCCCTGGGTACTCCTCTCCTCGTTTTCCTTTTCCTCTTGTCTTGAGCCCAGATTTCCCCTATTTATTCTCTCTGCCTGGCAGCCTGGCCCATCCTTTCTCCTGCCTTGCTGTTGACCATTCAGCTCTTTATTAGACCAATCAGGTATTTGAGGCAAGTAAAGTAACACAGCTTCACAGAGTTAGACAAATGCAATGTAAAAAAAGGCAACACATCTTTGCATCATTAAACAAATATTCCACAGCATAAATGATGACAACTCATCTTAAATTAATATTCCACAACACTCGTTCAATAAATAAGTAAACAACAGGTTCAACTCTTGTAAATGTTGAGGAGCAAAACTGTTGATTTTGGAATGAAAGGCTGAAAATCCCTTAATGTTTTGTTTGCTTGTTGTTTGTCTTACTCTTTTGCTCAAAAACCCCAGGGCATTTTCAGGCTGGAAATGAACATAAAACTTTTTGAAGCTGGTTTCTAGTCCTTTCAATGGTTATGACCTGTGCTGACATCTTGCTTGTATAAATAAAGCCTGTCTGAGGGTTAGAGAATAGAGCTTGCCACTAGCTAACCATAGAGGTCTGGAGGTCTGTGCAGACAGACAGGAAGTGAGCTAGCTGGCTGGAAACCGGATATAATCAGGGAGAAACAGAGCCACTGAGCGGCTAAGGAGGTAAGGTGTGCCATGGCTTGCTCCTCTCTGATCTCTCAGCATTTTCCTCTATATTTGATTCAGGGTTTTTCTCATTTCGACCAATTAAGAACTGCATTTACAGTGACCCCATGGAAGGTGCTAGGCTTACCAACCAATCGCTGCCCTCTCCAGGCTGTTTATCTTGGGACAGTGATCTGTCAGCAGAAGTTAGTTGAGGGCTTGTGAAGGAGGCCTTTTCCCTGTGTCTTAAGAGGAGCGGCCATCTCCCTTTCAGTTTGCCGCCAGTGCGGTGAAATAATTGATGGTAGGGCTGCTATAGCCCAAGCTTGAACACAAACATGATACCTAGAGACGGTGAGATGGAGCCCAGGGCTCTGACATCGCTGCGTGGCTAAGCCAACCAGCTCCAAACTTCCTCCATGTGACATGATAAACCACGTGACTTTCAGGTCACTTCAGGCTGATGTCATGTTACACGCTCTTGGGTGTCATCGCTACTCCAGGAGCAGACCTTCATATGGACTCTTCTCTGAGTAGTGTCTGTTCCTTGAGCGGCTTCTCATTGGTTGTAGAACCCAATGTGAGAATATCGCTTTTCATGCCGTTTCCATCGCTGCCCACTACCTTGCACATACATGGTCCTCAAAATGTTTACTAAAACCAATTGATTAATTCCATTATATTGCAGAGTGGACTTTTCCCCTGAGCATAAGGTGGGAAGAAGGAATTTAAAAATTGCCAAATAATCAATGATGTAATTAACAAAACGCTTGATGAGTGAAAGGTTTTGCTTTTTGTTTTTTTGTTGTGTGTGTGTGTGTTTTTAACACGTACCTCCAGAGGACATTTCGACTCAAATGTGAGATTTTTGACTCCTGTGATATAAGATAAACCTTCCCAATGTCAACCAAAAGCCAGAGGCACTGTGGGTGGGGGAAGGGGCCAGATGTGGAAACTGAGTCTGTGGTGGTTGGCCTTTGAGTATCTTCGGATATTTTCTGAATAATTCTCATC